GATGTGTATAAGAGACAGCGGTAATATTCTATAAAAAATATAGTGTTTCCGCAAAAATATTGCAGTTATGCTGCAATAAAATATTTTGGACTAAATAGCATATTTTCAAAAATAAAAAATAATTTCAGTTTTTGATAGCCAAAAGTAAAATAAATCAGTGATATATTAAATATTATATTTATAAATCTGCTTATTATATTATAATTCCAACTATTTTTTTTTAGAATCTTTACTTTATAAGTAAACTTATAGTTATAAACTTATAGTTATATTAACGTCTTAAAATATATTTTTTGCTTAAGCAACAATTAAAATGTGTAAATATGAAAAGTCGGGGCTGTGACGGGGTATGTTGTTACAGAGTTTATTTTTGTTTTCAATTTAAAATAATGTTAAATTTCTGTAGTCTTTCCTTAGTGCAATCTTATATTTATATTTTTTTCCAGTGTGATTTATGTACGAGAAAGACTGAATGATATATAAAGATAATGATATAAACATTTATGTTTATATCATTAATGTTACACTAATGTGTATATTTTATTTGAAAATTGTAAATAAAGTTATGTTATGCACAATTTTTTTTATTTCCTTCAATTAAATGCGTTATATTTTGAAATCTGATTGTGTAACGACTGATTCCAGTAACTGTAATAATTGACTCCGCATATGGGGCCGGTTGTTACAAGTTGCATCACTTTACATTTTTCATTAATACAACTAAATTAGTTATATTATTAAATTATAAAAATAATTTCTATGTTATTGAAGCATGTGGCTATTGAAAAATATCTTTGCGGCATTTATTAGTTACATGTAAAAAAATCATTAAAAAAAAATGTATCAACCAGCCCCGGTCTCCCCTATGTTAGCGCTCAACATCGTTGTTAGTGCGGGCTTATATCAGTGAAATACTTGTAAAAATTATTAAAGCTTATGTAATTGCAAAAAATTTGATGTAAGCACAAATAATACCGAAAATATTATCAGAATATAATTAGAACAATAATTTATAAAACTATAGTCACATAACATTTTTATATACATCGAAAAATAACGATCTTTATTTATTAAAATCATTATCTTAAAAAAAATTAATAAGCTATTTAATTAGATCATTGTCTTAACACGATAAATTTTAATTAACAAATGTATGTCACATAATTTGCTGTATTTATTTTACATATGCAGATAGTATGTTAGTGGCATTCCGGCCGTAGAAAGCATTTTAATCCTATCCTGAATAATAATATATAGGCAAATAATATTACAACACAATATATTTTAAAAATATAAAAACTTTTTTAGGAATATTAGATTTTATAGATATGTTGGGGAAGCATTATCCATCTCCATTTCAAATACGAAGATGCTATATGCCAATCGTTATATTACATGAACCAAACTAAATAAAGGTAAATAAGCATTTATGTTTTCTTGTATAGAATTAAACATCCATTTCAAACTACATTAAAAATTTCACATATATACAGGTCATTCCATACCAAAATGCAAATGGCTCTGCCAAAAAATGGTTTGATCCTTTTTAAACGTATGAATATACTTAAAATTTAGCTTATTTTATGTAGAATCGAATGTCACATGGTGATTTTGGAAAACTTCAAAATAGCGACTATGACAGTATCCTTAATGAACTGTCGTCAAAAAATTTTTGGAACAAACTTTAATTACCGAAGCACATGGGGATTTGTTCCAAAAATTTTTTGACGACAGTCCATTAAGGACGCTGCCATGGACGCCATTTTAATGTTTTCCAAAATCTCCATGTGACGTTCGATTTTACATAAAATAAGCTAAATTTTGAATACTCGTACGTTTCAAAAGGATCAAACCATTTATGGACAGAGCCATTTGAGTTTTTGTATGGAATAACCCATACATACATATGTGTGTATTCTTTTATTTATTTTTTTAAATAATTTAACAAAGCGGACATATTTTTTAAAACATATATATTCATTACATAATAAACAAAATAAACGCGCGCAAATAAGTAATAAAAATATTAATAACATACAACGTTGCAGACTGTCTTACAACATTGCGTAAACAAAGGTAGACTGTATAAATTTGCAGTACCATTGTTTGGCATGGGAGTAGCATCACTTCCTGGTAAAGTATTTTTAGAAGAATAAAACATTTAAAATTGTACTCTCTTGTAACTCTTCAATTTACATAGGAAAGTGAAAGTAAATTATTATTTTTTGTTATTGTTTATTTATTAACATTTCATTACCGATGCGTTTACTTTTAGATTGTACTTTACTTATATTTCTATTAGCTTGTACAATATTTTAGTACCTACTTATTGCTTTTCAGTAATACACTAAATCTCTTGAAGCTGAAAGTTTTTCCTATAATATTAACGTTTTCTTATAAATATTGTATAATTATTAATATACGTGCGTACTTTTAATTAAAATAATTTTTTTTCTAATTACATCTTTATAATAAAGAAATAATAATTCTTCCTTCAGAATCTACATGGCCTCAATATCGAAAAATAATAGGATCAAGCTTTAATTCAAACATATTGCGAGAATTTTTTAATATATTTGTCAAGCATTCTTTAATATTTGCAAACGAATTAGAAGATGTCGGATTAAATGGAGACGAAATTATTTTGAATAAACATACAATGGCGAATGCTTTGAACATTGCATGTAAGGAATTGCAATTTATTTATTTAATCTATATACATATTATAGAAATTCATTCATAAAAAAAAATCATTCATTTATGTGTGCTATTTTTACTTAATCAAGCTGGAATTTTAAAAGAAATAACCAAGTATAACTATAAATAACTCTAATAAAAATTTGAGAATACCGAAAACTTGATGCTGAACGACTTTTTAAATGTCAAATTTATTATTATTTTATTAAACATTGTAATGGAAAAAAATTAAATTAAAATGTGTATAAAACACACACCCAACTATGTAAACATGTGATATAATAATCAAATTAATATTGTTTGTTATTATTATTTATGCAAATTATTATTGTTGATTAAAACAGATAATAAAAATAATAAAATAAACTAATATGGATAATAATTACATATCATATATCTGGCACCAAAACGTTCATTCTTATTATACTTATCCACATACTATACTCGTGACAATAAATAAATAAGATAAAAATTAATATTTTAAATAACAAGCTTTTTTTTTATAAAGGCTCTACAATCGGCATCGAAATGAAAACAGACATAAGAGAGAAATGCCTTAAAAATATTGAAAGGTATAAAATTTCTTAATTCTTTTCTTTTTAATTTCTAAATTCTTGCAACTGGTGTAAGTACACCCTGAGAATTCTATTTGACTATAATTTTTATATTTTTAAACGAAAAATCTTTTCTTATTATTTTCAAGTGATAAAAAAATTTTTTAATCTTTGCCAGTTGTCTGAAATTAAATCTATATATGTATGAGACATTTATCTTTTGAAAAAAAAAATATATTTTTTATTTGTATGACATTTAACTTTAAAATAAACATGTTTTAGATACAGAGATATTATGAAACATAGATTTCATTCTGCATGGATAAATCCATTTCTGTATTTTGATTTTATATTTAATTTCACTACTTTGGGACGCGAACAACAAAAGATTATAAAATCGATGCATTCTTTTATTAATGAGGTATATATTGAATATATTTCTTGACATACTTGGTAGCTTTTAATGCTTTGCGCAATTTACATTATATATTTTTATACAGATGACACAGCAACAGCTACAATTAAATAAATTGTATCAAACCGAGACGGAAATTAATACAATTAGTAAGTATATTCACATGTTATAAGAAGCCAATATAAATTTAACGATGTTGAAATGTTTACAAAATATATTCTTTTAAAAATCGCAATTAAATCTCTTTTTAGTACGTTGACATAATTCTTTAATATAGAATGTATAGGGGGAGTTCCCCTATAGTGCCAGACGCTTAAGATTTTTCTTAAATAAATAAAAAATAATAATATTTCATTCTCTTTATCCTGCATTATTTATCAGTTAACAATATTAGATATCAAAATAAAGCAACGAAATAATCAATATTATCA